TTCAAGGCTAAAATAGTATTTTACAAATATCTACGCACGCACCGCGACAGCCAGAACACATCAAATACCTACGCACGTGTCCATTGACGATATTGTGGTGTCTAATCAAATCACGCGTTATCAGCTGTTTAATAATTGTTATTTACAAATTTAATTTAACAAATCAGTAATTATATAATATTGGCTTCACAATAAAAAAAAATCAATGTCGACAATCTAAGGCCTGAAAAGTGTGATGGAAAGAGGAATCATAAATCATAATGTAGTTATTTCGTGTACTTATTATTACCTACTACTTACTATTGTCGGACGGCACTCGGAGAGTGTCTGTCTGTGTGTGCATGTGCAGCGGAGTGTTGGTGAATAGCTGACCATATTATTTGCACGAAATTGGGATAGCTAATTTCACAAATAAAAAATGCAAACGCACATATAAATAATATTTGGTGTATGCATTGCGTTTATATTATTATATTCTAATTGGGGGGTTTGAGGGTGTGCGTTAATTACGTTACACGTAGAGTGGGAAACATTCTTATTTACTATGCGAAAACAAAAGCTCTCCCTAATTCAATTGGCTTTTTTGTATTGCCCGGAAATTATCCGTTTCATTGAAGTGCTCCTTTGTAAACCACATTTTTTGTTTTTTTTTGTCTAACGTTAACACAAATAAAGCGGATGGTTTCCCAACTCGTGAACACACAAATAATAACTGCCCATGTGAAAAACAATGATTTTCTAAATTTATCCCGCAAATACTAAATTACATATATGTCATTATACGTCAATCGCATAGCTGTCAATTGTGTTTCGTTATTCCACGTTTTATAGTGGCTGACGTTTCATGGCAAGTCAGACGGGAATGCTATCGAACGTGATAAAAAGTATCCTATCGCAATTTCCTGGTTCTAAACTACCTCCCTGCCAATTTTCAGCTAAATCGGTTCAGCCGTTCTTGAGTTATAAGTGGGGTAACTAACACGACTTTCTTTTATATATATAGATTAACGATAAAAAAATATAAAATTTATGAAATAACCACGTGACTAGAAACGCGCCACGATAAGTCGTACTTATGACTTCACAACGTTAAAAGAATTTGAAGATAGTACAGTGTCATCCGCTTCTATCAATGTATCAGCTGTGTGCTACAATGAGGAGAAATTAATATTGTGACGTTACTCGCGCTCGGGTTTGCTCAGGAATTGTCGGCGTGTTTTCGGTACCGGATTCAAAAACGAATATTAATTTGATATAACTTTTTAATTATATACCGAAAAAATAAACAAATATACTTTTGTTATAAAAGTAATATGATCATTCCATTTATCACAAATAAATTTTTCGTTCAAAAACCAAATTACATATAAAATAATAAAGCTTAGAATAAACTTTTAATGTTTAGAGTTAATATTATTCTGGAATATTAATATAAATAAAAACAAATTGCCTGAAACTTAGGTATAACCCGGATATAACAATTGATACTCGAGGCTCGTTAGTTAAAACCAGTCAGGAATATTCCACTTATGAGTGGAGTTTCGACGGTGCCTGGGACCCAGGTGTAGGTTTAAGGGGGCCTTATCTAACGCGCGTTAAACGCTCATCTCTACCGTCCAAGATCCACTCTTTATCTAACCAAATTTAAAAAGAACCTACTAGGACTGTCTTTTAAGTACGTTCCAAAAACAAATTAATGTGAGTTCTGGACAGGCCCAATTCTTTAAGTGGGTTGCAGAGAAATTTAACTTTTATACCTCTCGCTCCCACTTCTACCGCTTACAAATCTACGACGAACTTATTTGGAGTAGTTTCGTATGTGAGATCGTAATATTTATTGACCTTGATGGTATGGTTTTTGGGGATGTTGGTTTTCCAAGAAACAGTTAGCTCTATCATCACAACGCGCTTTAAAATTCGAGAACACATAAATATGTCTGGTCTGGAGACCGACGCACAAATATACTCGGGGATACCATAAACAGAATTTTGAATAAGCATTATCCTAAACATCCATTTTTTCCTGAATAACTACGATTTTTTTTAAACAACTATCTATTTTAATTTAATTTCATAATCAAACTTGTAAGAAGAAAAAGTAAGCAGTTAAATTTGATTATTTAATAGAATTAACAAATTTCTTGAAGGCATTATCATTGTTATGAAACTAATTTCGTGTTACCAATTCGTTTACCGTGAATTAATGTTCCCGTGTAATTCATGTTCACACTGCTCAACACGGGTTTCGCCACATGAACTTTGATAACTAATTTTGTTTTATCAATCTATCCTCATTATTAATTCACAGTTTTCATGAGTCTGTTAGCCTTATATTTGTTGTGATACGGTAATTCTCATAACTAGTACTGCGGATGTTAATTAACAGAGACACCTACTTAGGTTAATATAAACATGTCGAGAATTGTAATAATGATCCTAACTCTTTTTCCCCATGTTCACTCACACCGGAAAATCATATAAAATAGCATAGCAAATTTCTAGCCTGAATCTTGGCATATTTTGTTGAAAAATTAAAATTCTATTCCTCCAGTCGTATCAAATTAACCTAAAGAGCTAAAACGTAAACCTACTATAAAAAAACTGTCCAATTATTCAAGGTGGTTCAGGAGCTATGGAGCATGACAAACTCTTACTTTCTCTAGCAGACCGAGTTAAGAATAGAGTTTACGCTATAGAACTGACGCCAACGACATCGCGAAACAAATTACTATGCTGAAGTGGCAATAGACCGATCATATCTATAGATATTGATACAGCAAACCAATCTAAACTTCAAGTAAGGAAATTAATATAAAATCGCGTTAATGACCGTATTTTAACCCATTTTATATTTGTAATTAATTAAAGTTGAAGTCTCAAATTAGTACATCATTGTAAAGTTAGGCTAAGTAATAAAATACTGCGGGAGTTATATTTTGTAAAAAACCCTATTATAACAAGTTGCTAAAATATTAGTGGCAAAAAGTTTTATACATTATTACAACGAACAATGAGTTCAAGTTAATTTCTAGTTTAATAAATAAATAATAGTTTAAAAAAATAAAAAAACACGTATTTATAGCAAACCGAACTAAAAACTTAAAAATAAATTTAAAAACAAAGAGTTTATATTACCGTAGCAGAAGGTTAAACAATCAATCATAGTTATGTAATGACTTCAAAATAAAATTAAAATGAAATTTAAGTTACAAACAGAATTATTAAATTCATAGTAAAAAGTCGTTGGGTGCTTGCCATATTAAAGGCTATAAAATCATTCTATTAGCAATTATCTGTGAGTGGAGAGTTATGGAAATGTTATAAAATGCTCCCAGCAAAGCTGAAACTTCTTATCCAAAATCTTTTAACACGCGAGCCCTCGAGTAAACACCATTCTATTTTACAGCATGTTTTGAATTTTATTGCTCAACAAACTCTATTTACAATAGCTTTAATCATAGTAGTAATTGAAAGGTAGGCAATATATATTTATTAAGGCTTGTACAAAGGTGATAGAGATAGAAAAACCATTAAATTAGTAAAAAGTTTAACTAATTTAGACCATTACAATAATAGAGCAAAATTCCATTTTAATTGGTGATCTGTTTTATTACTAAACCGACTTTTTATTGAAAAAAATATGTTAACATTTCAAACATATGACAGGCTTATTATATTTAAGTGGCTATCTGAACTGCAATTTTAGAATTGATTGACTTTGGTTTTGACTGTGCTATTTATTGGCCGGAAATTTAATTTATTATAGTCTTTAAAAAAAGTTTTTTTGGATATATTTTTCCCAATTATGATGATTTTCTTACGAAATTATTTTGGCACACTGATAAACAAACATCAAGTTTGACTAGTATGAACTATGAATAACTGAAGTGTGTGTATAATATTAATAATATTCTTATAGATAATAAATTAATTCAAAATACGAATCTGTCCTGATTCTTGAATACACTATGAAGTATGGTTTATGGTATGCCAATAACTTATTATCAACCAACGGTTCACTATTCAATTCAGTTGTCAAATTGCCATGAGAGAATACTTCTGGGTTATATCGAATAATGATAAATAGTCGATAAGATCCAATTGTGACAATATATTTATAAAAGTAAGTATTAAATATAAAGGTTTTAAATTTTATTCATAAAACGTATACTACAATGAATCGCGCCTGAGTAGTTTTAATCTAAGTATTTAATCAACTTCAGGAATACCTATCACTTATTACTTTTACTTTTCTAAAATAATATTACTACTTGGATTTAGTTTTTACACCAAATTCAATTATATTCCCGAACCTTTCCAATTAAATTCAAAGTGGGAAAACACAATATCACCAAGTCTCGATTTTGCGTATAATATGCATATTTTCTTGTATATATTTCCATAACAATTGCATAATCCGAGCCGATGTAAAATACGTAATTTGTTTATGATATCCTACCAAATTATCATACATCGATCATACAGTCATCATACATTATTACAATTATCATACAGTCGATGTGTGTGTGTGTAATACCTACACGTAGGGGAAAGTGGGGGAAACGCGAACACCTAAGGGAAAACATAAATAAAACAGTGGAATCAAATCACAGAGTTTCTTTAATTATTGAATTATAAACTTTACTTATCTAATTAGCGTATTACTAATCAACATTATTATTTTTTTTATAAAATAAAACAAAATAACCATAAAAACAAAACCCTTAGTGTTCGGCTTTACCCAACTGACGTCGGGTAAAGCCGAACACTAAGTGGGGTAGTCACGTACTAACATTACTAACGACATCTATCACATTTGTAACCCGCCGATGTTGACTGTCCGTCAGTGCAATTCTCGTACATTTCTCACACATGTAACACATTATCCAGTCTTCAACAGGGGGCTTTTCCGGCTAGCTGTTTCACGGTTCTTCTCTGCATATTGATACGCAATCTGACGAATTTTTTTATGGTTAGGCCATAATTAAGTTTACTGCACTTTATGATATAGTCGACCAATTCCTTTCTTGCTGGTCTGTGAAGAGCGGTCTTCGTCCAGTCCTTGGTAATTTTATAGGTGCCTTCTTTAAATAATCATAAATTGTAGTTTTTGGAATACTATAAGTATTTGCTGCTCTGCCAATGCTGAGTTTTTTAGTTTGAACGTCGACTATAGCCCTTTTGAGATCCTCTAAGCTGTATTTAGTTTCGGTTTTTCTTTTATAATTACGAGGCATCTGAAACAATTTATTTGATGTTTAGCATCATCAAAATCACCCGACAACATAATTTAGTGCCACAAAGAAATCAAAATAGACTGGAAAACACTATACCCTATTTGCCAGTGGGTAGTTGGAAAAAAAATATTAACAGGGAACTAACAAAAAAGGAGAGAGGGGTAATGCCGAACGTTCGAAATTACCCGACATGAAGCGTTCGCCTTTACCCCACCGGGTCGAAAAAAATAAAAAGGCAAAAATATGGTAGGTTATATAACTTTTACCAAATGCGTCACTGTCATTTGAATGGTTAGTATGTAAATTTTCCACTATGTAAAGGTTAAATAACTATTCTCAATAGAACTGAAGCCACACCAAGTTCAATTTATCAACAAAATTACATCGAAAACATTGAAAATATTAAAATTGACATACCTTGAAAAGTACGTGCGTCTGCGTCTCCCGTGTCGTTGATTGGCACTGGTGGTGGCGTGATCTCTGAGTTACCGGGGAGTGATATACGGCTATATCTTTCTAACACATTAAAACTATTGGGTTCGGAATTACCCCGCGTTCGCGTTTACCCCCCTTTCCCCTAAACAATTATTAGAAAAAAATAATAACTTTTTAGCTTAGTTTAAATTCTTTACATTTTCATTTAATTGCAAAAATACTTTAACTTTTATAAGTTAAATAAAAACATTTAAAAGCGTTCCTCTTCAGTTTAATTATATAGAAAATTTACTTACAGAATAAAAATCTTTCACCATTATTTATATTTAAAGGGATAATGTGCAATCAGTTTAATGAGAAAAAGAGAACCGCAAATGTTAGACATTATGTGAATACCTCTAATACAATTTTACTTTTAATATAACGAAGCTTTGTATCTTCATACAAAGGTTTTGATCTCTATGGAGCAGCGTTATTACATTTTTATTATTTACTTTACTAGTCTGCTTTGTAAGTTCAAATATTTATATAAGTTACAATTTTTTTTTTTTTCTTAGGAAATATACTTACTTACCTCCTACTCCTAAGAGCAGGAAATCGTACCTGATGCTATATAATATTTTTAAATGTACATATAACTAGTCTAAAAAGACATCCAAAATGAAGATTCCAAAATAAATGGTAATGGAGAAAATTTATGTTCTGCTTAGACGTTTCAAAACTCTTACCAATATTTCGTTATAATATTTTAGTTTTATCTAAAAAACATACATACACCTTGAACGATTTGCGTAAAATTTAAGTATAAATGTTCCGGCCGGCCCCATAAACAGACCAGTAAAGAACTGTACATATATTAAAAAACATGAAATAGTCACATACTCTTATCCTAGTACAAAGTTTTGTCACAGAAAAAATAATTATGATCGTATAATATAGTTATGAAACGTATCAATTATTGAAACATAACTTTTGATTGTGAAACTCAATAAAATATGAAATTAAAATAACCGTTACGATTTCCTTGTAACGTTTTCTTAATTTCTATATATGTAATAATAATGTCTTTATATGCACTACATTAAAACGAAAAAGGGTATTGTTTATTAATGAATATTAATGTTATAGATATTATAATAAAGTCTAATTTGAAAATGTATTTAGGTCCAACAAATAATTGATATCTATTTAGCGAACTTTAATAGAAAAGTTATAAAAAACGAAACTGGATAAAGTATAAACATAGGTGCCTAGAAATAATATGTAGTACTAGCTTTTGAAGCGACTTCGTCCACGTGACCTCCGGCAGATTTTTGGTTCTTCCCACATATGTAGTTCCCGTTCTTGTGGGGTTTTCGGAATGGTCGAATTCCAGTAGGATTTTCAGGATAAAACCTATGTTTTTTTTTAATTCACAATGAAGTACTCTTAACCAACAACATATTTATTTGTTTATTCGAATAAAGATTAATATTATTGTGTTGATAGAACTTAAACAAATTATTTCGACCAAATTAGGTACATAAAAACGGTTTTTGTGAGTTAATCTTAAAAGATAGACATATACTGTCGCGGACTGTTTTTTAGATCATTAAAAGAGCTATTATTCTTTCATACATATTTTTTGTGTATCTTGAACCGTTTTCACGACGCACGCAATGGGAGGCTTCAAAGACGAAATAATTACAATTAATTACGCATCGTGTGAACACCCTACAGATTAGGTATACACACACACACACACCAGCGTGCGGCGGCGTGGTGATGTATCAGCACGCCGCCGCACGTGTCCACACTTGGAACGTGTCCACACATTATTTATTTATACGGAAATTTGGTCAAAAATTAAGTACCTATTTTTTTTACATAATTCGAATGAGAATCATTTACGGAGTATTCTCTTTAAATATTGATAGTAATTCACCAGTCGCCCTGTATATTTGCCTGATTTTTTTTTAATCATAAAAACACATTCAAATGCACAACATAATACATATATTTTGTAGACTATCACAAAGAATAATAATTTGATGCAGTTTCTTGCTATAATAGTAGTAGAAAAATTGTTAATTAAAAGAATAACTCGTAGAACTCAAATATTTCGATTAAAACGGATAATTGTTTGAATATTTCTAAAGTTTGCTTTTTAAATGAAGGTTTTTGTGGTTAACAACTCTAAAGAACAATTAAAACTTTGGTTTTCGGATGAAAGTGTCTTAATGAAAATAGTCAAAGCAGTAAATTGTAGTATAACAAATCGACTAGTAGATCCGATGTTAATTTTATGAAAATCCTAGAAGACCTGGCACACTTCGTATCGCCCTATAATCAAGAAATATCTATTACGTTTTTTTATTTATATTTTTGGGGTTTACCTGTAAGCCATAAATCTCCGTGTTTTGAAGAGCGACAGAATCATTGACATAGTTAGTTGTCAAATCTAATGTCAAAAAAAAAACGTTTGTATGGGAAATAGAAAAGGGCTGTTTTTATGGTTTTCAGTAATGAATCAATTTTTTCAGCTTTTATACCTTCCCTGAACCTCCACGAACATTTCAAGACTAAGATAAGATAAATCCGTTCAGCTGTTCTCGAGTTTTAGCGAGACTAAGGAACAGCAATCCATTTTTATATATATAGAAGATTATACATACTATAAGTCTACCTGTTCAGCATCGTTTCCTTCACCTTCTTCATCACTGGACACTTCCAGACCATTTTTATTTCCTTTATCTTTATCTTCATCATCGTTTTCTTTCTGCTCTTCTTGTAAAGCTTCTTTCATAGCGTCGATTTCAAACGGATTTTCAGTTTCAGTTTCTCCATCCTGAATGTGATATTTAGTTTATTATTATTTTATTAAACAATTATTATGAAGAGTTTCGTGAACAATATATGTTTACCTTATCGTCTTTTTCTTCGCCGTCCAAGTTTAAATCATCGGGCATTTCAAAGTCTTCGGGCTCAGGTAGTTCTTGTTGTTTTCCATGATATGGATCAACCTTGAAAATAAATTATTTACTATATAGTTAACATCAACACTTAAATATTAACGAAAGAGTCGAACAAACTAACCTGATCATCGTCAACTTCGGGTTCCATTTCATTAATATCTTTATTTTTCCTTTCCCTTCCTTCACTGCTCATCTTTTCCTAGTTCTTATTCTTTAGAGCCCATTTCTTTCTCACCTTTGCCTCGTTCTTATTTTGTTCTTCGTCTATATCTTCTTCGTCTTCGGATCCCCATATTTGTTGATCGAGCCTTTTCATTAAAGAACAAAAAATAGGGAATATTAAAATAACTTTACACAAAATTATTTAATATTATACAGAGTGGTTAACTAGAGCTGTAACGTTCATACAAATGCAATTTAACGGTACCGTGTTTTTAAAACAGCTTATACAGGGTGACTGGTGAATTACTATCAATATTTAAGGAGCATACTCGGTACATGATTCTCATTCGAATTATGTAAAAAAAATAGGTACTTAATTTTTGACCAAATTTCCGTATAAATAAATAAAGTTTGGACACGTACTCAGCCTTGCCGGCGCCAGTGTGTCGCTACTCCCCAACCCCCGCCCCGTGGCTAGCGGGCCATTAGTCGGCTATTAGTCGCGCGAGCGCCGCCGTAAGGTCTGTACGTTCGTCTTCCCGCGCGCGCGCCTAGCGATCGATCTTACGCGTATACCTAATAATAATCTGTCGTGTGTGCGTGTGACCCGTTATTACTTATTAGTAATTAAATATGGCTTTTCAATACACAAATGCAGAATACTTGGACATGGTTCATGCGTATGCGCGTGCAAATGATAGCTTGCCGGGCGCAATCAATTTGTACCGGGAGATGTTCCCCAATCGTCGAGTACCTACGGCCAGCGTCATCTTAAACGCTAATCAAAGATTACGAGACTTCGGACAGTTCCGTGTTCCAACACATGCCCAAGGAAACGTCTTGTGTATGCTACAGAGTATGTAAACAGAGAGGAGTTGAAATTAAAAATCAATAGTGATTTCAAAACTATTAAAAGTGACCCATTCGTATTAAATCGTGTGAAAGACAATATGTGTAAACGTGCCGAACTGTGTATCACACGAGAAGGAGCTCACTTTGAACATTTGTTAAGGTTAGTGTAGTTATGTAGGTAAATAGGTAGTTTAATAATTGACAATTGTTGTAAATAAGTATGATTCCATTTTTAAATACGCCGGAAATACCAAGATAGGTAAACAGTTCATATTATTTTTTGTGTCAAGGTCACACCATTTAACTAGTCAATAAATTGGTTGCTTAAACGAAAGAAATATCTTGGTATTTTTGCCTGTCCTAAGCCAGGATTAAAGTATGAAGGGAAATGGATCATTTTTGTTTATCTAAGGTCTAACACGCGGCGGCGCGCGGCATTTGGATGTAGGTAAACTACCGCGCGATAACTACATATACCTACGTACATAACTGTTTTGTGTCGATAACGCAGTTAGGGTATCCACGCGATCCGTAATTAATTACATAACTTTTGGTTAACTTTACTTAGAAGTTTATTAATATTTATGTTATATTAATTTTTATTTTGTCATATATGATCGTCAACTACCACGTCCTTAAATATTGATAGTAATTCACCAGTCACCCTGTAGAATCTTACTTATACAATAATGAAAATAAAGGCATTCTTTTATTTTCCTAATATCTTTCTTAACATATGTATATATTGGACGTTTTAACTCTTGCTAACCGACTTTATGACAATTTAACAATATTAGTCAATTTCAAATAAATTGGTTCTGCTTTCAATTATACATGTGACTAAAAACATATTAAAAAATATTCGATATTTAAGATCACATTTTACAATAATTATTGTAATGTGTTACAAAAATAATGATGATATTCACTTACTTTAGGCAGCATTATCTGTATCTCCCATTTGTTTATCGGCATCGTCATCATCGTTTTCGTCATCTAATTGTTCTGGTATTTAAAAGGACATTTAATAAATTTACAACCCTATTTTATATGTTTAAAACTTAATTTTATCTGACTATATTATCGACCTTTCTGTTCAACGTCTTGTAAATGAGAATCACAGTCGTCAGTCATATTGACTCCTTCTCTTCTTCCTTGCAATCTTTATCTTGTTCGTTCTTTTCTTCACCCGGTTTATGCGCGTAGTCAAATTGATCCTTTGAAAACAAAAACAATATTTTTTTTGTGTGTAATAAATTTTGTCTACAGCGCTAAAGTCAATGATCTTTCGTTTCGGGAACATAATTCTATCTATCCCTTTCCCACACCTGGTTTTCTTTGCGTTCAGAGACATCTTTCTGTCCCTCTCCCTCACCAAGTCCCATTCCGCTGTCTCCAGTAGTGCCTTCTCCCTCACCCTCCTCTGAATCTAGTTCTGAGTGTTGACAGAAACTGTAAGGAAATAAAGGAAGTTTCAATTTATTACGTAACTAAAACATTCTTAAACAATAACTTATTTAAGGATAATCGTAAGTACAATATGAATTAAAAAGCTTCAGTGGAACAACTTATTGAAATTATCTAATTTGTGGCAATTAATGAAAGTTTTTATAATATTTTATTAATTTTCTGTACTTTAGATATTTATAAAGTTTTATATTTAAATGCAACCCCAACTTATTCATTTTAACATTGTGGTATATTTAATCTAAATTATATCGATATAATTACCCTTTCGATGCCAGATCCAATAAAATTTTCAAAAGCACTAACAGCATTTTACAGGATACTCTATGCACAGCAACTTTTTTGGGATACAAAATATTGGACAAATAGTATAACTTGCTCCAATATCGGTACCAATCTCATAACAACAGTTCTAGCTTCTTCCATATCAGACCTAGTCGCAATATATTGCACATAGTTAATCAAAAGTTCGCGCAATTTTGTAACTAGAGTTTCCAATTGCAACATTCTTGAATCAGGCGAAATGTTCTCTTGGAGTAATTCTTTTAAATGATTATCTTCTAAAATTTCTTTGGTTTCAACTTTTTCACCTTCATGTATAATTTCATCAATAGCGTTTATAACGTCCATATTCTCCGCTTGTTTCTCTGGCGGCAGATGTTTTTGTACAACGATTGTATCACAAGTAACATCGTAGCCACAACATCTTCAGTCTGCTCTAACATTGCTCCGTCAGTTTCATCCATTTCTTGGTCTATCGGTTCATCCAATTTATGAAGTTCTGTTTTTATATCTTTAATGTAAGCCACCATATTTTCAAGGCTTCTTAGTATTGGATGATGCGGTGTGAAGTCTTCTATGACCGTCGTTTTGAAAACAAACTGATATTCGGTAATAATTTCCTCACGTTTTTCTATTATAACGTCCAAATTATTCTTAACTTCTATATGACTTTGAGAAACTAGAGGTAACTTAATGGATTTTTCGATTTGTTTTAGGTTTCGAGATAATTTGTTTAACAGTGCCTTTTGTTTATCAACTAGAGATATAATTGACTTAATTTTTTTATTAAGAGACTTCCATTCATCGCTATCCTTGAAACAATCAGCCAAAGGTGAGTTTGATAGCACTTTGTCCAAATCTGACTCAGAATCAGTATTCAAATGTTTTTCCGGAACAGACTTCAGAACGACATTTAATTGTTCTAGAAGAATGCTCGTATGAGCGTAGCATTCCACTAACACATTGAGTATTTCTTCAAGCGAAGTTATATTACATCCTGTAGAGTCTTTTTCTAACGCGCTTGTAAGACTTGTAGCTACGGTTCGTAAATCGAAAATATGTTTCGTATAACGCGAAATCGACTTCTTCTGAGTGTTAGCATATTTCTGGAAATAAAATGTATATACTTAAAATTTTAGCACAAATTATTATTTAACACTATTTATAATGTCATTTAATATCAATATAATGCGGATTTAATTTCTATTTCTATTATATCACATAACTGTTACACTTTTAACAATACACTTATAGCAAAAAGGAATATAAATATATACTTAACAAATAACAAAATATTGGTGATCACAAAACAAAATATTTGTGATCACACGAAAACATGGACAAAGTCGAATGCTTTTGTTATATAGTTGTAAATACCTGCTTTTCAAATAGCTCATAGCGGCATCTCAATCGACGGGTAGTATTGTGAAATCATACATGTATAACGAGACCCGTGCGATAATTCAAGCCGATTTTGTTCAAATATTTGAACAGATCCGATAGAGCTTTACGCTTCTGCTGCGTTATGTTTTTGGCTTGAGATTTTTGTTTGTCCTTCGGCAATGTTGAATCCAGCTACAATATAGAGTATAATTATTAAAATGTTTTGTATTTGTTACAATCTTAGCAGTAACAGAAGACATTTTTTTTCGGATATAAGTCTAATTTTTAGAAATTATCTAAATGAAATAGAAATGACAATTCACATTTATATAAGAACCAATATAGAAATTGAAACAATTTTACGTGTATAAAATAAATATTCGTTATAGAATTGAAAAAAAAGAATTACCTCCAAAGATCCTAAATGTTCACTTGTCTCTATAACCAATGTTACAAAGTCGTCCAAGCATGTAGTAGCGCGGGGTAGCCGTGTTAGCGATGCTGTCCTTACATAATGTTCGAGCTTTGTTCAACAGACTCGGAATCTTTGCCAGGAGACTGTTCACTTGTATTAATTGACAAGGCTGTTCGAGCTGGTATTCGTATTTCTGTAAAAGGGAATTCAATTATTAAAACGTTACTGCGTAATGCGTATGTTGCATATTTATAACTGTATGTTTTTTTTAAAGACAGAAAGCAAATAAAACAGAAGACAGGCGAAATCATTCATAACCACCAAATCTTTTATCATTATTATATTTTAAGTGTAATAAAAATGACGTGTTTATATACCTTAATGTTTCTGTTCAGTACTACATGGTTCTGAAGATCTATCATATACGCTCCGCCCGCGGCATTGCTTGCAGTGCCAGCCCTCTTTGGTCGATAGACTCACTCGCCGTGTCCACGAGACAACTCGATACACTGTCCTTTAGAACTTTCTGTAGACAATTTTCAAAGTAGGATATTTACTCAGACTTCACAAACACATCAATTACATAAGATAATATAAGATGATAAAGTACACAATAATATTACAAACATTGA